AAAAAAAAAAGTCAATATGACCTGAAAATCCCCAGACTGGGATGGCCAGGCCGGCTGGGCAATATGATTTATTCTATTAATAAGCCAGAAAGAAGGGCAGGAATAAATGCTGAATGCATTTTTGGTGGCCGCAGAGGGCTGGGAGCTGCGTGGCCGGGGAGGGGGTGTGAGCCTCTTCGGGGTACCAGCACAGCCGAGGCACAAGCTGCCTTTGACAGAGCCATTTTCTCCCTGGCTTTTTTGGGAGAAGGGAGCCAAGGAAAACACGGGACTTGTTGATTTTTGTCCCTGGGACATTGTAAGGGGCTCTTTCAGCCCAGAACTACTGTTCGGAGCGGGACGGTGGGGGCTGGAAGCTCCTTCCCAGGGGTGGGGAGGGATGAAGCCCTAAAGCAGGTTACTGGGACAGGATCCCCACTCCCAACTCACCACCTCCAGCTCCAGAAAGCACCAAAACCAAAGGCGATAACACCCGGCCTGCAACTGTAGAGGCCTTTTAACTCCAGCTCGCAGCAGCTCTGGCTCCTTCCTCCATCAAATGGGGCTAAAACACCTCCATAGCGTGAGCGCCCGAGCCTGCTGAGAGTGATTTATTTTAACTAGAAGGTGAATTAAACAAAACAGCCTTCCCTGAGCAAGGGCTGCTCACCACCAGCGACACTCCAGCTCCTGGTGCGGGGATACAGCTCACAGTTGGTTTATTTAACTCTGAATCACGACACGCGCACGAAAAGAAAAAAAAAATACATTACTTTTTTTTTTTTTCCTCAGATCTTTACTTGCAGCAAAAGATAGAAAAAGGTAGTAAATGAACTTGGTATAAAACACACGGAGGGGAGAGGGAACGGGTACAATCCATCCTACAAAGAACACAATCTGGCAGGAGTAAGGGCTGAAAGGGGGAAGTTTTGTACAAAACTACTGCTTACAGGTAGAGAAAAAATGTATAAAATATCCCTCCCTATCTGGAGACAAAAATACAAAAGTGGACATTCTTTCATTCTTTACTTATACTTAAAAAGGTTATGTACATGAGAGAAAAGCAGGTTCAGCAGCTTGGGAAGCTCATCAAACACTCGCCGCTTCCTCCCACATCGCACTTGAGAATAAATTAAAACAGTTGAAAGCATCAGCACGGCCCCACCCGAGACCCTCTGGAGAGCCCAGAGGAGCAAACTCTCGGGGTAAAACATTCAGAAGCATCGGGGCACCCCCAAAAATCCCTCGTTTTGGAAGGGTTTTCTGTGCTTCTGAGTGTTTTACTTCTTGCCCCCGAGAGCGATGGGGATGCAGCTCATCCTGAAGGCTCCCGGGAGTCGCGCGCTGGATGGACTCAGAGGTACCTTTGGAAGAGCCTCTCGACAGGACGCCAGTGCCTGGCCTCTAACGTGACCTTTGACCTTGCGTCAGCCTTTATCCCCAGGCAAAACATGTGCAAAATATCACGGAGAGAGAGGAGCGATTCATTCCGCTCAGCTGGGGCCCTCCGCGCAAGGACAAAGGTGGCAAGAAGCCGCAGCCCCGGCTCCTGTGAGGAGGCAAAGCTAGGGCAGGCAAAAAAAGAAAAAAAAAAAAAAAAAAACCCACCCAAAAAACCCCCACAACCGAAAAACCAACCCAACCCCAAACCCAACGCAGACTTTGTCCTTTGTCGCTCCGGAAAAAATCGTTTGAAAATATACACAAAATAATTCAACAGCGCCATCGGCTCGACTCGTTTTGTACCTGAATTTCCATGAGCAGCTGATACTAAAGAACTGGGAGACCACAAAAATGGCTCTGCCACAGCGGCGTTTAACAAACAAATTCCTTCCAGAGTTCCCTGGCTCCCACCTGCCACCCTCGAGGGATGCCCGAGCTGTCTCCAGCCCCCCCAAACCCCACAGCCAGGCTGTCCCGAGAGTGCCAGGTTTTAATCTTGGGTGGCGAGAGTTTGCGATGGGTGTGAAAAGGCCGGCTTCGAGGACAGAGAGGAGATCCTACAGGAGCAGAGGACGCAGCGAAAACGTTCCTCGACACACAAACCCTCCCCTCCATCCGCCCCCAAACAGGCTTTTGCCCACCCGACTTGGAGCTCTCCCAGCGCGCGAAGCATCAGAGCCCACCGAAGCGCCTCCCCCTTCCCTCTCTCAGGGTCATGCCCTCAGCTCCAAGCTGGCAGCAAGAGCTGCAAAAAGCAGAAAAAGAAGTTTTGTGAATGTCCGAAGCTGCCCCCTCAAGTCTCAGCACCTGAAATTGCTTGTAAAAATAGGTCTTGAAATAAAAAAAAAAAAACACACAAAAAAACAGGGGGCGGAAGACAAAAAAAAAAAAGAAAAAAAAAGGCAAGTGTGCTTCTGAACATTTCTATTGCGCATTGGTCCGTGAATGGTGTTTTATCAAAAATATGATACAGAGTTTGTTTGCTGTGTCTTTGAGTGAAGCCCTGGGCAGGTCCGTGCCCGCCGTGGCTCAGGGCAAATCCGGGCACTTCTGATACAACCTCGGGCACAGCGTCATCATAACAGCTTGCGGTGAAGGATTTCCCAGGCCATTCGCTTTCGGAAATAGGGCATGTGTTGCTTGGGGGTGGGAGGGGAGGAAAGAGAGAGAAGAGAAAGAAAAAAAAATAAAAATGTCCATCAGCGTGTCTGTCACTGCTGGGCTGTTTATGGAGCAGCCACGCTCCTGGGGCAGCTTTTGCAGTGGTGCCTTTGTGTGTGTGTGTGTGTGTGTGTGTGTGTGTGTGTGTGTGTGCATGAAATTTCTTTTTCTTGGTTATGGAAAACGGGAGAGCGGATGAGATCTAGGCAATAATGTAACTCTGAGGGTGTATATTCTGTAATAATTACAAGTAAAATATTCACACGTGGGATATTCCGTGGAGGCTGACAATGTTAAGTAACACTGAAATTCCCTGGGATTCGGGCTACGACGCCCCATTTCCATTGGGGTGAGTGCCGTTAGGGGTTTGTGAGCTCTCCCCGGCTGCAGCAGGGATGGATTTGAGCACAGGGGGAGATCCAGGGATGGTTTTAGAGGAACAGTTTCGCGTGGTGCCACATCACCGTGGGCCAGCTCTACCCCAAGGAGCAGCAGGACGTTCCCTGCGTGGGCTGGGGGCACTTTAAACCCCCCAGAAAAGGAAGCAAAGGGTGTTTGGGAAAATCAGAATAGGCACAGAGAAGGGCCACGTGCCCGTCTCTCCCCAAGCACGAGGGGCAGGCCAGGGCGGGGTGTACCTGAGTGAAGTTGATGGGCTTGTCTTTGGTGATGCAGTCGGCGTATTTGCAGGCAAACATCCCGCAGTCGCTGCCGTTCATCTGCTGCGGGATTTCCTTTAACGAAAAGGACACAAAATCAAGTGTTATTTCCGAAGGAGCTGGTTCCCGCTCGCCAGCTTCTAAGGATGAAGAGTTCTGAGCAAAGGAACCTCTCTCAAACGAGGCAGGTCAGCACAAACCACAGAACCACAGAATCCCAGAATCATCCGGGCTGGAAAAGCCCCTGAAGCTCCTCCAGCCCGACCGTGACCCTCCCCCTGACACCCCCCCAACTCCCCCAGATCCCTCAGCGCTGGCTCAGCCCGACTCTTCAGCCCCCCCAGGGATCCCAGGGACTCCCCCCTGCCCTGGGCAGCCCATTCCAACGCCCAACAGCCCCTTCTGCACAGAAATCCTTCCTCAGAGCCAGCCTGACCCTGCCCTGGGCAGCTTGAGGCCATTCCCTC